GTCGAATAGTCATCTGTGCCGGCAAACGATTATTTGAAATAAAAAAATTAAGAACGATCGGCTCTGCTCTTAAGGTGGGAAGGGGAGATTCGAAACGTAAAACAATGTATGTTTCGGAAACAATTCCCATTGCACACAAGAAACCAGAAAGATCTGCTAAAGTTTTTTGCAAATTGTTGTTTCAAAAACACATGATATATTAAACTGCAAAACTGATACGGTCGATTCCTCATATAGATTAAACTTTAAATACGCAAAGATTGCGGCGATGCGGCCACTGATGCCTATGAGGCGAAGCGCTTGTGAATCGCAGTGATTGTCTATTGATTTACTGGATATTTTAGAAAGCAGCGCATCGTCGATGTTGTAAAATCCACTTCATTTAAGACTTTCACTGAGTTATGGACAAAGCCTTCACACGCCAATGTGCCAACGCACGCCGCTTTGTATCATTTAGCAGAGCGGTCATCTGCTAATTTTGTATTACCTTCGCATCTATTTCGGAGCTAGTTAAAAGTCTGGCTAAAATAACTTTATTCTTGTTGATAGCTGTAGATCAGATTGGCATGCGAGGTTATCTCTCATACTTAAGTTTCTAGACTTCTACTAGTCCCGAAGCAGCTGTCATTTATAATAATTTTGGCGCTCAGTCGACTTTTACAACCTCTAAAGCTTTCCATTTGATTTCGTAAATAGATCCGACGATCATTCAATACCTTATTGATTTGATTGAAATCGCAAGGCGGCAGCCACCGATGGCATTTCACGCGTTGTTTGAGCTACTCAAAAGTCATTTGAACTGCTGCGATCATTTATGGTGATCGATTGCAGGTTTAATCATCAAAATTGAGACCTTAGCTTTGTTCACTCTTTTTGAAGATGAGCATTCCCGAAGGCGACTACGAAAAAGGAAAAAGGGTGAGTTGCAGCACCTCCCTTCCCTCCTCGTCAACAATCACACTTTTCTTTTTTAGGCATTCAAATTACGCTGTCTACACTGTCATGTTATTGACAGTATGGCTGCAAAAGCAGGCCCTTCGTTGAACGGAGTAATGGGTAGAACCAGTGGTTCTGTACCAGGCTACACATATTCAGAAGCAAATAAGAAGATGGTACGAATCTTTTTTCTGGCATATTTATACCTTTTTAGTCCCAGCGATTACTTTCTAGCATGTTGTTTGGACTCGCGAGACAATGTTCGAGTATTTGGCCGATCCGAGAAAATTTATGCCGGGGACAAAAATGATATTCAAAGGCATGAGGAAGGCTGAAGATCGCGCAGATCTCATTAAATACATGGAAGTTGAAGGTGCGAAACCGCCGTCATAGATGGTAGCATTCGTTCTTTATGAACACATCATTCTATCTACTTGTAGAGATCTAATTAACAATTTATATCGTTTTTGTTGTTATTGTTGCTGCTGTTGTTGTATTGTTATAAAATTATTCTAGCGTATTTT